CATTGAGGCCGGCTAGATCAGGCATGATCACAGCCGTAACAAGTACAAGTTGTACTGTTTCGGGCAGAACTGTCGTCATCTTTTACCACCATGGTGGTCCTGCAGGGCCATGGTCTTGCATGCATGCACCTGGTTGCAGCCGATTGTCGGCGCCTTGTGCATTAATAACATTGATTTAACGTATATAATTTGTTTTTCATTGTTTGCAAACTTGATATTGTAAAGCAATTAACCAGTACTAAACTCAGTTATTAAACAGGGATTAGCCTACCGCTGGAAAGTGGGCATTTTGCTGCGCGAAGTTTTTAAAAACCATTAAAAATATAAATTTAAATTAATAAAGAGAAATTGAAAATTCTACTTAAACTCCTAAGACTGTCTTGATAACGACCGGGACATTTGACTATCAACCTCAACTACGTTTTTACGTCAAAAAGAACGACCTTGATGGTACATTCTACGTTGGCCTATTCACCCTCGAAAAAGATCCACATGTGGTGTCGATGGAGTTAATATGCAGTCGATGTGCTTTTGACCAACATGTTCTGGTTGGGTGACCTGACCACATTGTTTTGAATACCGTTAACACAAGACAGCCTTACCGAAATCCGGGACTTATTCCAATTGAGGGTAAACCGAGTGTTTTTTCATAGACACGGAAGTTGTCTAATCCTAGGGTCCTATGTAAAAAAGTTGATTTCCGTGTCCTACAGGTTCTTGCAAGCACTGAGAAACAGTGTCGGGGACGTGATTGTAACCTACACGTTAATTTTTGGCAAAGCATTCAGCATACTTTCCACTGTTATGTATGCCGTGTTCCAAAAGCGAGGTCAAGAAGACATAAGCTGGGCGCGGGTGCATCAGTCGAAATTGATCTTGCCCACATGCCGCTGAAGAACAACTTCGTAGGCGTCCTAATTTCTACTTAATACCAGAATGTCTTTTAGATTGATTGCATTTTATCGAGCATGTACACGTGCATATGGCGCTTTTCCGTTGCGTAAAAATATAGAGACAGGGTTTGCATGGAATTGTCTGTTGTCTCGGTCCCTAAGGTAATGTCATGATGCAAGGTTTTTGTTGAGCTTGATTTTTGCCGTTTGTACCTATGTGTGTGGTATGTCGTGTTGCCGCGTTTTTCTTAACTAACCCTGCAGTAAAGCTGCCTATCAATACGTCTTCTCAGTACTGTCCAGGCGACTTTCACATGCGCTGTAAGATTTGTCCGGGACGAATGAAAAAAAAACCAGTCGTGGGATGAGGAGACCAGGCATCTTATCAGTTCTATCCTTTAAAACATGTTCTTTTAGTGTTTAGTATGATAAAACTGCGGCATGTCAGTCGCCAGTTCCAGACATTTTATGTGTCGCACCTCCCAATTAAACTGAGCGTGATTTACGCCTCAGTTTTTGCAGCGTCAACTTTCCCTTCTACTTGTTTTATTACCGAAACAACCTACCAGAACACACTTTTCTCTACCGCGACTCGTCCGCTTAAGGCCGTCTCTGATTGTTTCTCACCATCCCGGGTGCCGAAACAGGCTTAACAAGCAGACCGTCATTTTCTTTATGTGTGACTTAAGTTTATGCCTCCCAACCATAATGCTCGTTTAGGGTTCGTTAAGCGTATGGATAAGGTCATGTAATCTAGCGGCTTAGCGAATCACGGGCATTAAACCTAGGATCGCTTATTGTGTGATTTTAAATGCGGCGTGTCCTTAATATCCTTATACTAGCAAAATAAAGTCACTTTAATGCATTTAGTCTGTCTTTACTCTTAAAAACAGGGTTATCATCTTTAGTGGCTCCGGTCGCTTCATATTTATCAGAATTCTCAAAGACCCTAGTCTTGTCGTCATTTTTAGTGACTAATGGCGAAAAGGAGTATAATTTTATATGCTCAACTAATTTTGTGTTAGACCCATTCTACGTGACAATTTTCGATATTTGGAGCGTGACAGTTCGTTGCCCTTGCGTCTGCCGTTGAATGCCTTGAGTTTTCCATGGTGACGACCGACTAAACTAACGGTCTACGTCCTTGATTTTCCAACAAGTCGACTGTCAAGAGGCTAAGTTCTAATCAGAAGAATTAACAAAAGTTCCGACTGATGGTGGACCTGTAAGTTTTTAAAAACCTCTATGTGCCTTGGAATAGTCAAAAATAAAACTGATAAGAATTTCCCAAGGTTGACTAACTCACTGTAGATGGTGGCAATCAGCGGTTCAAAAGTGAATCTTGTAACCGCTTTTACTTTTCTTTAAACCTCACCAATCAATGTATTCCCGTTTCTGGTAGTTTAATATATTTGATGAAAAGAAAATCCTATCGGTCCTCCTAGTGTGTACCGTTGCCTTAGTTTGAAATACATATAGTAGTAATAGCCTATCAGAAATGTCTTGTGCCTTTTTTGAATGGCTGACGAGGCGACCAGCACACATTTTATACTTGCAGCTTATTAATTAACGACGGTCATGTACAGTAACCTGTTTCATTGATCTGTCTGTTTCCTCGTTTTTTACAGAGATACGTCGACAATGGAGCTTATCTGCAGCTTCTTCAACCTCCTTAAGCGCCAAGGATTCCGTAGTGTGTCCTACTTCCATTAATGCTGTTGGCGGTTGTTGTTGTTGTCGTCCAAATTTCCATTGGATTGCTGTTTCCTCAGGACCATCTTATTTCCCTATTTCTCCCACTGTATACCGACATGCTGTAGCGATTTCCTTTCGTTCTTCAGCACAAGTTTCGCTAAAAAAACATTTCTGCCCACACCCCGAAAGTAACGTACATACCTTCAAGATGGACCTCGAAGATGTGGAGGAAATGTCTAACGATGAAGTTGCCTTGGCACAGAATGCACGAAGAAAGTCCACTCGTCGCAGTCTGCTGCCCTTCCCTGTAGCGGGTGA